TAATTGGGTAATTAGGTTCGCGAAGGGTCAGGGGTCGTGGCGCGCGCGCGAGTACGTACCGGTGTCTATGACAACCGTGTAGCTAGGTGGCAGTAGTTCCTTCGTCGGTTCCTCGCACTTGATCTCGTTCCACAGATCCGGGATCCACTCGTTCCACGCCGCCTCATATCTGTAACACGCGCGAGCAACAACGTCACATGTGACACGAGCGCAACAACGTCATAAGTGACACGAGCGCAACAACGTCACACGTGACGCGAGCGCAACAACGTCATATGTGACGCGCGCGCAACAATGTCATAAGTGACACAAGCGCAACAACGTCATAAGTGACACGAGCGCAACAACGTCACATGTGACACGAGCGCAACAACGTCATACGTAAAGCGCGCAACAATGTCATAAGTGACGCACGCTCAACAACGTCTTACGTGACGCGCGCAACAACGTTATACATGACACGGAGCAACAACGTCATAAGTGACGCACGCTCAACAACGTTATACACGACACGGGGCAACAACGTCATAAGTGACGCACGCTCAACAACTTCTTACGCGACACGGTGTAACAACGCTGTATGCCCGACTCGGTGCCACACTGTCATATGTGTAGCAATGATGTTACCCCCTACCAGTGGAAAAAATACACGGGGGCTCGGGGCGATTAGGGCGCCGCTGCCAATGCCAAAAAGAGCCCCGGAATTTGCTAGAGTTGCAAGGCAACCAAATTTTAGAGTGGCTATTTTTCATGGCAGGCGCGCGAGCTTGAAAAGTAGCCCCCGAAAAATAAATTATATTTTTTTCCCTGCCCCCTACGCCTCTATCTACCCTACAATCCCTGTCCTGACCCTCTCCCCATCTCCCCTTCTCCCCTTCTCCCCGACCTCCTCCATACTTCTCGTCCTCCTTGTCGTCTCCCAGACCCAGGTTCATGATGCGCTTGCCTCCCAGCTCGTGGAACTTGGTGTCGAACAGTTTCGCGCACTCGTTGTAGAACACGTATCCGCTGTCGCCCAGACCGAACACCGTGAACGACGTGTCGGCGAGGAAATCTGCCGGTAGCTTCTCATCACTCAGCTGCTTCCAGAAGTCTGTGTGTGAGAGAAAGAGAGAGAGATGAGACAGGAGAGAGAGAGGAGGGAGGGAGGGGAGGGAGGGAGGGAGGGAGGGAGGGAGGGAGGGAGGAAATCTTCTGGTAGCTTCTCATCACTC